GCTGTGCTGTCTCTCCTGTGAATGATTGATCCGACCGACGGCTGTGCTGTCCTGGTTAAACTCAAATCAAGATGCTTCGAACCTTAAATCCTCACCCTTTCGTTGCCCCTGGAATTGCACCACGGAAATGACATACGTCAGTGCTTCATTCCTTGGAGCTTATTGCCGTGGAAGCTGCTGGACCGGTCGCTGGTCATGATAAACGTGAACGGCGCACTGCTCCTAGTCTCGTAAGGTGGTACGCACGCACCGACGCACCGTACGTGGCATGCGCCCGGCCAACGGTGACAAGCGGGGCTCAAGTGTCCCGCTTCACCGCCAGAATGGTTCTGTCGAGTCTGTGCTAGCATGATTACGACGGGTCTCGTAGGTGCTCTGATTTGTCACTTCAGTACTGCATACCTTTTTTTAGAAAAGGAGAATGACCCCCGACCTCTGCATTTGGAAGATGCATACGGCCATTTTATTGATTATTCTCGAGGATCTTACAAAGTATTACAACAATAAGCCCGAATCCATCATCTTGGCAACACATGCCACTACTTCTATCCAAAATGACGAAGGGGTGCTAGCTGGGCCACTACCCAAACCACTCACCTAAGCCATCAAAAGCCGGAAACCGAAACATATTCGGAAGCCCCAGCCAAGCCACATACCGGGTCTGGGGCACAATCCGGTCAGACGCACTCGTGTGTCGTCGCCACCATCTTCCGCAGGTCCATCTTCAGATCATATTGAGGCTTCTACCTTGTGTGGCCACTCTGCCATCGACGTCACCATGATGCCAGACCTGCGCGAGTCCATCTCCGCGTATCGGGCGGCGAGCCTCCACAGCGTCATGCCGCCGATCCTCGCCGCCATGAATGAGTGAGATGAAGTACCGCTCCACCACGGCATGTACAGGGGTGAGGAAGGGCGAGGTCCCCATCGGAGACACGGCCGGAAGGGCCGCCACCAGGAACCAGACAAGCTCGCAATACACACCCAGCATCCCCATGCCCAAATCAGCGCCTTCAAGAAGGTGACGG